AGTTGAAGGCACGGATACGACTCGTCGCATCCGAGATTGCTAGATGGACCAACTTGACAGTAATGGCTCGCCCTTCCCCCAAGAAGAGGACAAGGACAAAATGTAATAGACCAGCAGAAAATGAGTGCTTGGTGTTGTGAGAGGATGGGATGAAGGGAGAAGATGTGAAGAGGTTGCGACCTCGGGAGACTGACGCTGCTGCGAACACTACCCATTCACGCCCCCAGACCCTGTCCCAATGTAGCAGTTTTCAGGTACACCATCGATCACAGTGACAATCAGAACATTACGATACATCATGTAAATTCCACGTGTTTTGGCGACTTTTGTACCAAGTCTCGAAAAAAACGTGACAGCAGTCCCGATTAGGCAAGTTTCGGCTTGGCGTGGATTCCAGCAAATAGCACCAATGACTTGGTGGACCTGCGTGAAGTTGCGACCCAGCGCCTGCTCTCTGCCACAGCCACCACCCGAACAGACATGGTCCATGCAAATCATGTGGCGTGAGATGGATCATATAAACCGCACGTAACATCGAAGCAGCAGAAAGATGTGATAACGTAACTTTTATATTCTATGCATTGAATTCCCGGTATCTCATCCCAAGACACAAATCCAAACGCCGATCATGCATTCATAAACTCCCATTCCTTTTTCCCTATTCCCACCCTTACGCATCGATATCTAATCAACATACTCAGATCGCACCTTCTTCGCCCTCCTCTTGTTGGCCTTGAAGTGCTTCTTGCTATTCATCTTCATCTCCGTCGGGTCGACATCTGCCTCAAGCGCAGCGACCATCTTGGCTTTCCTGCCACTCAGCTCCTTGCCTTGCTCACTGTACTTGTAGTGGAAGGGCTGATTTACTCTGCCCATACCTTGTCCGGGGCCGAAGAAACGCTTGTCCATGCGTTGTGTCTTCTCTCCTTGGACGGGTACGCCGGCGTCGAGCTCGTCGTCCATCAGCGACATGTCATCGTCTAGTGCACCGGCGAGGGAGGTGTTGCCGGGGAGAGACGCGAGAGGGTGGTGTCGGCGCTTGGCGGGAAGATGGTCGACGTCGTAGAGTTCGCGGTTGAAGTGCTTAGGGTCTAGCGGTGGGTCGGCGGGTGGAGGGTGGCAGAAGAGAATTTTGCCCTTGACGTAATCTTTGAGGATGTATCGCGCCGCTCGAGACTCGTCTGGCTGACCAAGACCCTGGGTGGAGAAGCCTCTGGCGATGGCGTAGGCACGTAGAATTTCCTCGGATGTCAGAATACCAGTTCCACCTTCTTCCATCGGTCGGGGGTGGATCTTCATTCCGTAGAGCGCTTCAAGGAAGGGTTGCGGAATACGACGTGCGACAAGACCTGCGGGACCAGTGTACTCGCGAAGTTGGTCGATCGGGAGCACACCAGCACACACGAGCTCGGCTTTGGTTGTGGCAAAGTTGGGGAACACTAGACCAGGACAATCGCAGAGCATGACCTTGTCGCTGAGATGGATAGTCTGGAAGTGCTTGGTCTTTCCGGGTGTTGCAGAAACCGAAACCTTCTTTGCACCAATCAACGCGTTAATCGTGGACGACTTTCCGACGTTGGGGTAACCGACAAGACCAATCGACGTCTTTCTTGGCTCGCCGTTTGGTCCGGTATCAACATCAGGCGCATGTTGGAGGAACAGGGCTTCAAGGTCCTCTGTTGTCAGTATCCGCGTGCGCTCGTCGCCGTCTGCCTCTGATTGGCTCGCGCCCGGTACGTCGACTGTCTCTTCGTCCACCCACTTTTCCTTCTCTTCCTGCTTGTCTTGCAGGTCAATCTTCTTGGCTTCCTTTGCGAGCTTGTCGTCTTCTTCCTCGAAATCTTCGCCTTCATCAGTCACAAGCTCGTCAGAGTCGCCGGCATCGTCCGACTCGTCGTCGCTTGCCTCCAACTCAGCACGAGCCTCGTTCATCTCTTTGGCGAGTTCAGCCGAGAAGAACTTGTAGTTGATGCCAGCTTCGGTGAAGTAGTCGGCCCACGCTTTCCGTTGCTCCAGCGTCATCATATCCGCCTTGTTAACTAACAACAGATTGTTCTTCTTCGGGTCCACCTCTTTGACGTAGTCTTCCAAGTCCTCTGATCGAAACATGAGCGGGTTACGGGCGTCCACAATCTGCACGACCAGATCTGACCGTTCAATGACACGCCACAATTGCCTCCAGACTTCGAGATTGCGCTCGAACGGTGTGAGGAGAAGGTCGTTGTTCTCTTGCAGCTCCGCCAAGCCTCTTCGCCACTGTAGCAACGATGCCCTCTCTTTCTCGTCCAACTCTTGTGGTGTAGTGTCTTTGTCCCAGTGGGGTCGCCTCGGTACAGTCAGTCGGTTCCTGTTTTCCTTGTGCTTCTTGGTGACGTTGCGCTCCTCAAGCGGCGAGAGGAGGTATGGGTTCTTCTGGTCCTTGTGGATAATCTTGACGTTGTTCATCTTCTCAGCGGTGAAGTCGGTACCTGCCAACTCTGCAGTGGAAAGGAAGTCGTCGAGGGCGCCTTGTTCGGTGACGGAGCGCATCTTCATGTACGACGCCTCCTTCTTCTCGTTGGTGATGTACTGGGTGGTGTTAGTATGGGCTTGGTCGCGTGCTCTACCGGATGCCGCTCAATGCGCGATGTTCCTACGCGTGCGCGGACGTCCAGAGCTAAGTTGTAGTATGGATGACACACCTTCTCGCCATTCTGACCGGTTCGCTCGATACCGGCGTTGAAGTTGCCCTTGCGCAGGTTGTCGCCCTTTCCCTTGCTGAACCTGTCGTTCATCAGGCTGTTACCCAGCCCGACGCTCTTTTTGGATTTCGCGAGCACCATGTTTGCGGTTGGAAGTGGTGTATCGCGTGGTTTGTGGTGTTTTTGGCCCAAATAGAGGGGTGGGTGGAAAGAGAAAGTTGCGACGGAAGTTGCCCCACCACGTCATTCACCGATTGCCTCGCTAAATTATTTTTCTGAGAAGACCCTTTTGTAAGCGCGCCTTCCCCAGACTTCCACAACAGCACGCTCGCCACTGCCGTAGCAATCAACCTCAACTCTCACACAAGCCGCCAAGATGCCTCGCCGAAAGTTCATGTGAGAAGAGAAATCTGGATGCGCATCGAAGTACCCCGCTAACCCCGCGACAGCGATAAGAAGAACGCGACCAACTTCCGCCTCGTCCACCGCGCTCAGAATGACCCCCGAATCCACGACGAAGATGCCCCGCAAATGGTCTTTGCCCAGAGGGCCGCACCAAACCAACGCGAAACCGACGAGCCAGCAGGAAGTTCGCGTGCATCGCAATACTCCGCCGCGACGGGACGCAGCAAGATCAAGTCGAGACGGGAACTAGAAAGCGAATATGGCGAACAAGTACGGAAGAACGAGGGTGAAGCCGCCAACTACGGCATCTACTACGACGATACCGAGTACGACTACATGCAGCACATGCGCGACCTGGGCTCTGGCAGCGGCGATTCCTACTTCATCGAGCCCAAGGCGGAGAAGAAGGGAAAGCAAAAGATGGACTTGGCGGATATGCTGCGCGACGCATCGCTGAACGACAGCAGAAGCCAGGCCGATCTCAGCGTGAGCAGCAATATCAGCAGTGCGAGCGAACTATTCGGAGAAGACATGGCACCATCAGAGTTCGTGCGCAAGACAACCTACCAAGACCAGCAGAACATCCCCGATGCCCTCAAGGGGTTCCAACCAGACATGGACCCGCGCCTCCGCGAAGTGCTCGAAGCGCTCGAAGACGAAGCCTACGTCGAGGACGACGAGGACATCTTCAACGAACTCGCCCAAGACGGCTTCGAAGTCGACCAACGCGAATGGGACAGCGCCGACCTCTTCGACGACGAGACCGACGATAGAGACCCCATGGACCGCTTCCTCTCAGAAGAAGACCCAGGTTGGGAAACCGACGACACAATCAAAGCCTCCTCCCCCAAGCTGCGCGCTCAGAAACCTTCCAACAACGAGCCTACAGACCCATCCTCGCTCCCCGCTCCAGATGAAGCGCCCGCCCCCGCTGACGCAGCAGACATGGCGTACCTCGACGAATTCAAAAAGTTTAAACAAGACGTCAAAGCCGCTAAACCCACCCCTGGCAACCCCCGAAACGGCGCCGCTGCCGCAACAGACAACCAATCCTTCATAACAGGCGCCTCAGCCCTAACAGCAGGCGGCCGCCGCAAGAAGCGCAAAGGCGCCAAAACATCCACATCAGGGTACTCCATGTCTTCATCCGCCCTCCACCGCACAGAAGGCCTCACACTGCTCGACCAGCGCTTCGACAAGATCGAGGAAGAGTACGCTGACGACGACGGTTTCCCTGAGGATGGCTACGGCTACGACGACTCTGCTTCCATGGTTAGTGGCATGTCTAAGATGTCAGGCATGAGCAAGATGAGTGGTATGAGCGGGTGGTCGAGTAGTGAGGCGCCGCCGCTGCGTGGCGATTTCGATAGTATCATGGATGACTTTCTGGGGAGTCACCATACTGCTGGCAAAAGTGGCAGGAGGGTCAAGAAGGGGAAGCAGCAGAGTGGCATGGAGCAGTTGGATGAGGTTAGGAAAGGCCTGGGAGCTCCGAAGGTTAAGCCGCAGGATAGGTTCAGTGTGTTGAAGGTTTAGGGAGGAGCGGCTTTGTTCTCACTTCGCGTTATGATATAGATGACTTCATGCATTTGCTGGCGTTTGGGTTGATGGGTAAAAGGGATCCGGGTCACAGGCTGGGACATGTTATACCCGTATTGCAAGTATACAGTGGAATGAAGAGATGAACGGAAAATACATTGCCAAATGCTTAGCCTAGGTTCTTGAGCATGTAGACAGACAGTCAATGCCGACCATCTATATCCTTAAGGACCTAGACTAAGACTTTGGCAATATACCCTTCAGCGTTCTCATTCATGCGTTGATCTCATACACATCGTGACACCTCTTGTTCGTTCCTTTTTCTCCATCTTTCGCTTCACTACCATACAGCACGCCGTCTCACCCGAGCAGACCCTAAGCCTTAGGCTCAACACTGCTCTGCGCAACACCCTTCTGAAGCGCCTTCTTGCTAACGAGCCTGAACCCACCAACCAGCATAAGCGCCGCGAGCGAGCCCAAAATAACAGCCAGCGTAACAAACGCACCAATGACACCGCCAACAGCAGGCGACATATCGCTGCTGCCATTTCCACTCTGCTGAGCAGTAGTAGCGCCGTTGTCCTTAACGAACGCAGCGCAAGAGCCAGCCGTGTTACCACACTTTGTGCACCACTGCTCGGTAGTCGTAATAGCAAATTCATTCAGCTTATCCTGGAAGGTAGTCCACGAGACAGCGTTCTCGCTACCGCCGAAGAGAGGGAAGACGGTGGGTTCACTGGTGTTGCTAGCCGTGCCGTTGTGGAACAGGAAGCGGACTTGCAGGTCATCTCCGTTGGGGAAACCAGAGTCAACATTTGCGTTGGTGAAGAGCTCGAAGGCCATGGAGCTAGCGTAGTCGACGACACCAGTGAAGTCGTCGCTGACCTTTTGCAAGTCGGCGAGACCGAAGAAGGACATGAAGGTCGCGTAGGCGCCGAATTGGATGCCGAACTTCTTGGAGCCGGAGGTGCTGATGATGTTGTTCATGTATTCGAGAATTTCTCCGGCGAGTTGCATGCCGGCGACTGCGCGCATGTTGTCGCTGGCGTTGTAGGCGAGGCCCCACTCGTGAGCGTCGGCAAGGGTGCGGAGCTGGGTGAGGGTGGTGTTGGTCAGGGCATCGGAGTTGGGGATGCTGGAGTTGTGGATCTCGGCTACGTGGATGGTGTCGTAGACTGTTCATGTTAGTTTGGCTTGTACAATAGGATTGGGACGATACATACCGACGTAGGCGTTCTTGAAAGATACCTGCTCATCGCTGACCACGCCGTTCATTGAGGGAACGATGGAAGAGTAGAAGTTCTTGGAGCTGGACGCAAGGCTCTTGTACGCCTCACTGTCGAAATAGGAGTTTGAGCTGGTCTTTGCGTTCTGGCAGCTCGACGCATCCTGCAGCCAGCCATTGTCCTCAGAGCCGGAGCCGGTCTCGATGGTGTTGACTGGGATGAGCTGGTAGCCATCCATTGGCGCTTGTACGCTCTGGCCATTGGCAAGAGTCTGAACCGTCTGGACAGGAGGGTAAAGTCCCTGGAGGAAACCCATGGCCGAGTTCTGGAGGACATTGTCGACCGGTGCTTGAACCTGAAGCTGGGACAGCTTGACTTCATCCTCGTTGATGCCGTGGATCTTGGAGTCGCCGGACAGGTAACGTGAGCGGTAGTACTGGCCAGATGTGTAGACCTGTTCGTAACCAAGAGCAGTCAGGTTGGTGGGAGCAAGGGCCTTTGGTGTACGGTCGCCATGGCGGTGGAAAATGTAAGCTCCAAGTACGGTCTCAGCTGCCTCGGCACCAGCGAGCATGGAGAGAGCGGAAAGCGCGACGACAGACTTCATGGCGGGCAATTGAACGCTTGTCAACGAAGGAAGCTGTTCACGGAAGCGAGTGAAGCAATTGAACCCAGGGCAAGGCGGCGAATCTCACGGGCAGAGGTGGGATGGGGAAGGAGTAGAAGCGGACATCAGGAAGGACTTATACCAGCTATCTCGCTGCATGCCCCGCTGAGTAAGTAAACCAAGCTCGGGATTAAGCTACAGCAGCTAGATAGCAGGAGCCATCCGCCCAATCCGACGAGTAAACAGCTCATGATGTAGCGGGGCGCTTGCCTGACAAGCATGGTTCTTTCCGAATCTCGCAGTTCGGGAGGGGCAGTTGTAAGTGGGGGTTAGAGCGACCCACTGCCCGCGACAAGCTTTTTCCGCGCACAAGGTATCTTTGGCCGAGAATGACAGTCGCGCTGAATAAGTAGTAGTCAGAATGACGATACGTTATTCATCTGTCGCGGCCGTAGAGTATCTCGCAGACGCCGCCAATTGGCACATCCATCACGGCATCTGTTCCCGTGCTCCAAAAGCCTTTCCAGTCCACTTCATCTTGTGCGCTAAATTGATATGCCGAGAAAGAGCTTCGTCGGCTGGGAGGTGCACTGGCTCTAGTGCCCTTTTCCTTGTCCTTGTCGTGTAGCTTGTCTGTGACTAGCACCGGGTCGCGTACTATCTGCCCAGTCATGCGATCGACAACGGCTATCTGTGCGCATTCATCGACGAGGTTCTCGCAGCTGCTCAGCGGTAGTGTGAGGTAGCGCGTGTTGTAGCTTGCTAGGGCAACGTAGATGTAGATGACTAGCACCACGAGCCAGCACGGCACCGCGAGCGCCCACCACCGGTTCGGGTAGTAGTGAATACCCATCTGATGCAGCATCGGAGCTGGTACATAAGCCCAGAGGATGTACATTAGGAACGCGGCGGAGCTGCCTAGGTACAGAGCAAAGCCATAGTATTCGTATGTAGGCACTTTCGGCGAGGCCCGGGGTACTGTCGGCGCATGCCGTGCCGAGCTCGCGAGGTTCGTGGGTGTGCTTGTGCCTGTGGTATGCGAGCCAGCTCTCGTATATCCTTCTACATCCGACGAGTCTGGTGTCGTGGGTCTCGAGGTTGGGCGGCTGAACGCGGGGCGAAGTAGCGAGGTCAATGATGGAGACGGCGGTAGCGGAGTCGGAGGCCTGTTGTAGAAGGGCGGGAACAGCGCTGTCACAGTATGTCGCGGGAGGTGACTATACGATTTAGAGGTCTGTAATGGTCGAGACGTAGGCGCTGGCTCCTCTTCGTCCTCTTCATCTGCGCTGACTACGTCCTCCACCATGAAAGGGTCCTCGTCTTCATCTTGGTTGTCCTCTACAGACGCCGCCTCAGAGAGAGCGCTATTCGATATTGGCGATAGAGGAGTTGCTCCTGGACGATTCGCCGAGCGTGGAGGAGATGTTATCGTGCTGTCCTCGCGACTCTGCCCATCGAATGACGTCAGGGTAGGCAAATTAGGCGTAGATTTTGAGTAGAACCCCGAAGGAAGGGATTCCCCTCTACTGTGGGGTGGCATGTCGTCGACGTGTAGTTTGGCACGAAGTGAGTATAATGCATTGATCGCGTGCTTGAGCCTCTCAATTACGCGTTCGCGCTAGCGGAACCTTTCCGCACCTGCCCAGGTTGGCAGCTATCAGCCCCGTGTAACAAAACCATCTCATCTCCAGCCCAACATCAACTACACAGATGGCTCCAAAAGTCTCCACAACGGCTTCTCCAAGCACTCTGCAGCTAATGAAACCAAGGAGACGCGACACTTGCTTCCCTTAACATACTCCGGTCGACTGATAAGACCCACGATCCGCAACCTGCACCTCCCTCTGGACGACAATCAATGCCATGAGCGCAGACTCCCTGCGAATCGGCCCATAATGGAGAGGCTTCAAGCGAGGCAATACCAATGGCGCTTCAATGTCTGTTCGGGCTGTCTTTGTCAGCATCGCTGCTATCGCGGCTTCCTCGTCCAGTCACTCACATCGCTGCCTAGCGCGACGTCTTCTCTGACGCAACAGACATGTAGCCATCAGGATGAACATTGGTATGCATGTTGCAAGAAGAGCGAGAACAGAGATGGTGTTGTCTTTTGACCAGGCCATCATTAGATATACGCGTTGCTGAGCGCATCAACGTCCTTGCCCGCCCATCATATATGCTGGAAAAGCAGATTTCTGCCACAGTCCTCATGTTCAGATTTGACGAAAGCAGCTGGTGTTTAGGATATCAGTCTTACATCACGATCGGATCAGGCTAGACGTAGTGGAATCGCATTTAGCAGAGGCTGAGCAAGCCAAAATCTGAATTGAAGAGGCGCAGTTGCAGCAATCACAACGTATCAGCGACGGGTGTAAGCATCAAACCAGATTCTGCTATATACATTACATACATCGGTCAGTACTGCAGATGCCATTGGTCAGGCATGCATGCACGACGTGGCTGATTTCAGATTTCGCAAACAGGGCTGGCAGGCGCCATTCACGTGATGCTGTCTCTCATAAGGCAGACAAGTGCCCCGCGTTCAGCCTGGTCATCAGAGAATCTGCTCCTCACATCATTAGTCTTTCTTGGGGGATGTACCTCTTTTCCGAACGCAACAATGCCCGACAAACCCTACACGCAACGCATACCGAAGTGCGAGTGGAACTTGCACAAACCTACTATTCACCGCCTGTATGTCCTGGAAGACTTGCCTCTCACAGCTTCAGGCGGGGTCAAAGACATCATGTCCACTGAGTACCATTTCTCAGCAACGTAAGTGCACGACGAGGCGCTTCACCGTCACATAAGCCAACTATTGGGTATTGACTTCCGCGCAGAAAAGCACAATACGAGAATAGGGTGAAAAAATGGGGCTTCTCCAAGTATGGACCTTCATCCAATCGGCGGAACAGAATGTCAATAGGCCAGGAAGGAAGGGCTGAAGGCAAGCAGACGGGACCCCATTCCAGACATTATGATAACATTTTGACCGTTGAAGGTAAGAGCTTCGATTCGCCTCTGTTATTAGATTTGCCGACTAAAACTCGTAGCCTACCCGATCCGACGGAACATTGCGACCAATAGTCCCTCATCATACAGCTCTGCTCCACGGTGTGCTTCACTCGGTCCTGCATCGACCGCACATGCCTCGTCGGCTTCACTCGAAGAACTGCATGATATATCATCAGCTTTCGCGCCTGGTGATATATGTTTAACTACGTCGTCTCACCATACCGGAGTTGACTTGTTCTTCTCTCGTGATCCCATGTCAACTTCAGGCGCGAATCCCGGTACAGATGATGTATTCACCTCGGCATGGCTACCTTGCACGAACTGGAACGCTACCCCCAGGCTTTCGGAAAACCCCCTTGCATCAAGTTTCGCAACACTGATCATGCCGGTTATCTTGCGCTTACCAAAGCTCGGATCACTCGGCACCATGATCTCGTTCGAAGACATCAGTGCCTTTGAGGCTATAGTCAGGAATATGTTACATGAAGGCTCCTTTCAACTTGTACGCCAACAAAGCATGGATCGTCAAGTCATGTACATGATCTTTCATCGACTAGTCAACGACGGTCATGCTGTTCAGGCGCTCGATAGCCCCGAGACTAAGCTCGACCATCTTTTCAAAACAGGGATAACTTATTGCCTCTCACTTGGAAACGAAGTTCTCATGAACATCATCAATGCCACTCCCTCTCCCTACAATCTGGCATTGATGCAGAACATTTTCTCTGCAGCGCTGATTCTGGGGAATGGACCCGTCTTGGGTATGATCATGAGCATGGATAGAGAGAGATTTGTGGACCGCCCCGTCACCCTAGGATATGCTCAGTATTACCCATTGGAGTATACAAGTTCCAAAGGATACCTGCAAGCAACACAAATCCTCCTCGATTCCGGCGCTGATCCCAATCAGCAGATGTTCGCTGATCACATGCTGATCATAGCGGGGACTTTACCAGCTGAACACCCAGGCTATGCAGTTGAACTTCAAATCTTGCGACTGTTGTTTGACCATGGTCTAGAGTTCGAATCATCAGAGTCTAGTTCCTTCGCGCTACTCTTGTCGCGGTGCGACGAACAGTATTTACCACTATTAGCCACTCACTGCCTGGACATGAGCTTTCAAATCTTCTTTCAGAAACGCGCTTTGCCGTGTATATTGTGGCGAAAAGACTTGGACAATTCCTTCTTCGAGTTACTAGAAACTATCTTGGATCGGGCTTCATCATCTAGCAGCGGTCACCGAGATCTTTGGAACGAGGTGTTATCTACTTCCCTGTATTGCGCAGTTCTACGCAGCTATGTTTCGGCCTCCGATCTTTTGCTTGCAAAGGGCGCGATGCCAGATGATGTTTGCTTGACCGGTGCTGTCAGAGGCAACGATCTGAAAATCCTTGTAGAGTTTCTGGATCGTGGTCTAGACCCCAACGCCGAAGTTATTGTACCCTACTGTGAGGACCCATCTAGACGCCCATTACAGCCCGAGACTTGTACTGCGTTAGGCGAAGCCATTACGAATCGATCCAAGGGAGCGTTCGAGATACTTCAAGCGCGGAGATATGTTTCTGAACTGGCCCATCAATCAACTGGCTTTACTTACGCCTTCGTAGCAGCGTGTCAGGTTGGGGACAGCAGGCTCATGAATCTGCTGCTGCAATTGCAAAGCATTCCTAGCAGGCTTAAGAACATAGAGAACGCTCTTGAAGCTGCCATGGGAGAGAATCAACATCATATTATCGAACAGCTCCTATCTCTGGGCATCAGGCCGTCGCTGAGGTGCCTATACAAAGCGATTCAAAGCAGGCGACTAGAACCTGTGAAGCTGTTGACGAGTTGTATGGATATATACGGCATCCTGAGAGAAAACAATGGGCTTTACAGTAGGTATGATCACGTTCGGGATGCTCGAGACGAGGAGTACAACAACGCCATACTCTTTGAAGTGTTGAGCTGGGGTGATCAAATCGCAATTGACTGCGTACTTCGAAGTGGACACCCTGTCAATGTGTCCATGCGGCCAAATTTCAATGAGTTTCACGATTGGAAACTAGACTTGCGACCACCTGGGCGTACTGATTGTTGGAACATAATTCCCCTTAGCGCCGCTATCGTGAAGCGGAACTCAGCAGCAGTAAAAGCATTGATGACATACGGTGCACGACTTCTTCTACCACATCAGTTCAACTCACGATACACATCGCACCAATCTACCCCCATTGCGTCACGGCATTCACGTTTCGTGGACGATGGGTGGACTTTGACACCGCTTGCCGCCGCCGTATTCACAGATGATCTCCCTTTACTGGAAGAGTTTCTGCGCCTGGGAGCGGACCCCTTCGACAATAGCGCCCTTTTCGTATGCATCATGCGCGACTTCGAAGATGCCATTACGTTGATACTCTCCGCTTTCAGGACACGATACCCAGACGGGGTACATTCCTTTGGCTCAGACGCACTCTACCAGGCCATAAGACGCAAAAACATGCGACTTCTCAGGCTTCTCGCCATGGACACCGATATCACAGGGCCCGTTGAAGAGGACTGGAGAACCACGCCTGACGGTTATGGGCATTTCCGACGAAGTGTAAATTTCACGAGTCCACTTGGCGAAGCATTCCGTCTTTTCTCCGAAATCGATGACACTGGCGAAGTTATTGACGTTCTTCTGCCTCTGGTCAAAGACCACAACACTGTTATACATCAAGACGACAAATTTGGTAACATGACTAGTCTACTCTACGCAATCTTTTTGGGCTCTTTGGAAATCGTTCAGAGGTTACAACAAGCAGGCGCCAACATATCCTTACCAGCCGAAGTGAGCATTACTCGAACACCACTGCAGGCGGCAGCACAAGCGGAAAGCAAGGAAATCGTAGAGTATCTGCTAGACCAGGGAGTCAGTCCAAACGAGCCTCCAGCAATCCGAGCAGGAGCAACGGCTCTCCAGCTAGCGGCGATCACAGGGAATATCAATATCGCAACAATCTTGCTCAAGGCAGAAGCCAACGTCAATGCGCCACCAGCATTTTTTGATGGCAGAACGGCGTTCGAAGGCGCCACAGAGCATGGTCGTATTGAGATGATGATCTTTCTCGTTGGTCAAGGCGCCGATCTCCTTGCAAATGGCAACGCGCAATATCGACGTGCTATTACGTTTGCGGAAGACAACCTGCAGTACGCTGCAAAGGCGGTCGCAGACGAGCTATACGCAAAGGTTTTCGCTAGCCAAGGACCCAGCTTTATCGACATGGGGGAGGAACAGTGGGCGGGATATGAAACCCCAGACTTTCGGAATTTATTCTGACGAGCCGAGAAAAGCTCACCAGGCGTTTTTTTTTTTTTGGCTCTTTTCTCGTGGCTTCCGTTATGGGCAGTGCAACAGTAGCTCGGCCAGTACGTCCTTGATAGACCAGTCCCGCGGGCGTTAGGAGCACTTTCTTGAATCAATTCGACACTGTCTCCAACTTCGTGTTCCTGCCATGAGGAGCAATCACAACATTTGCACACCGCTCACACCCTCATCACCGATGCCAAGTAAATTCAATCGAAAAGATACAATAGACGCATCACAAATAATGTTCACAGCATCAGCAGATTGAATGCAAGTTCATCATCATTGCAGTACTGTCCAGATAACCAAGACAGCCATCTACAGCTTACTAGCCTCCCCACTCGTCCTGTTAAGGTACAAAGGATCCCTGGGCTCAATCCCATACTGCCTACACAGCTCCTCACCCTTCTTCTGCTGCGCCTCGATCCTAACCTTATGCGCAAGACCCCTCTTATTCTCATTCTTACCCAACTGCAATAGATGCACCTCATCCGGCCCGTCTACAATCCTCATGGTGCGGCCACTCGACCACATCTGCGCAAGCGGAGTATCTTGACTCACACCCGCACCACCGTAGGCCTGCATGGCCCAGTCGATAACCTTGAGGTTGACTTCAGGGACGAGCACCTTGACTTCAGCGATTTCCTTGAGCGCGCCCTTGGCATTTGTCTCGTCGATCTTGATGGCGGCGTTGAGGACGGAGAGGCGGGCGGCGTCGATTTCGATACGGGAGCGCGCGACGCGCTCGAGCATGATGCCGTGTTTGTTGAGGAGCTCGCCGAACGGCTTCTTGCGCTCGTCGTTGATGCGGGCGAGGAACCATTCCAGTGCTTTCTCGGCGGAGCCGATGCTGCGCATAGCGTGGTGGATGCGGCCAGGTCCAAGACGGCCTTGGATGATTTCAAAACCGCGGCCTTCGCCTAGCACCATGTTGCTGGCGGGGACGCGGACGTTCTCAAAGGTCACGTGGCCGTGGCCGTGGGGTGCGTCGTCGAAACCCATGACTGACAACATGCGGTGGACGGTTACACCGGGAGTGGTGTTGGGGACGAGGATGACGGATTGTTGCTTGTACTTGTCTGAGTTGTTGGGGTCGGTCTTTCCGAGGACGATGAAGATCTTGCAGCGAGGGTCGCCAATGCCGGATGACCACCATTTCTGAGCGTTGTTAGTGATGTGGTGGGTGAGTGAGAGACGAAGGCTAACTAACCTGACCGTTCAGGACGTAATGGTCGCCATCCTTCTTGATAGTCATCTCAATGTTGGTAGCATCACTCGACGCAACCTGAGGCTCCGTCATCAAGAACGCAGAGCGAATTTCGCCCCTCAGCAGCGGGTCCAGCCACTGCCTCTTCTGTGCCTCGGTACCGTACTTGGCAATGACCTCCATGTTGCCAGTATCAGGAGCAGCGCAGTTGACAGCCTCGGAAGCTGTCCGGCTCTTGCCCAGGTACTCAGCCATGAGGCCGTACTCCAGGTTGCTGAAGCCAGCACCCTCCTTGAAGTGTGCCTTGGGCAGGAACATATTCCATAGTCCAAGCTCTTGTGCCCTCTTCTTCAGGTCCTCGATGATGGAGGGATGCGACGAGAAGCGCTCTTGGACGGTCTGGCCAATCTGGCGAACGTATACGGCGTCGGCGGGGATGCACTCTTCTTCGACGAACTTCTCTACCTATGGACATGTTAGCACTTTATTATCCGGAGCTTGCCAAGTCACCTACGAGGTCGAGTGTCTTCGCCGCCCTCTCGCTGACAAAAGGCCGCGCGATGACGGGAATGCGCTGAGAGGCGGAGATATGGCCATCCTTGCTGTTGCTAAGCAGATCGTAGGCGCGGTCGTACGGTACAGACATGATTGCGTACTGTGGAGAGAGGATGAGGTAGGGAAGGACGGTTTAGGGAGGAAATCCGGGGTAGTTTAACAAAAGATGCGGAGAGACGAGTCGTCCGTGGCTACTGCTTCGGTCATTGATGTTGGGAGCTAAGAGTTGCCGAGGTACGGGATGCACCACCTCCGCTTTGGACCTCGTAACTTGGCTGTCTCACACCACGCAGACGTGGTGCCAAGGTGTCCGATGGCAAACGTATCTTAGAGAAGGGTATCGTTGGCCGAGGCATTGATGATAGTCATGTTGTGGTAGAGGCTGCGGTTGGAGTTGGCGATAGCTGCAATGGACGCGACGCCACCGTTACGCGTGGCGCACAGTCCAACCTCCGCAAGAGGCTATGGAATTGCATGAGTATATCAACGTAGCTATCGGAATTCATGCAGGCCATCTCAGCACTTGTACAATTGTCGTTATAGAGTTCATTGAATCTTATTAGAGGGTCTTTGACTCCATGATCCTAACACGAGTATGCATCACTAATTGACTTATCGTGCTTCAGCAGCTACAAGCCTAGTAGTCGAACACCTACCATAAATCCGCCCAGCAGCCACATCTCCAATTGCCAGCGATGACATCGCAGCCAGCCCTCCCCCACGAGCTCATCGACCAAATCATCATCACCCTCATCTCCCTCCATTATCCTCGAGGACGAGGAGAGCATGGTGTTTCAAATCCCTGGTTGGGAGACCTGGGACGTAGGGGATATAGGACGCATGCGTGTTTATGAAGAGATGATTGAGGAACGGCAGTTGACGGATATATGGTTTGGACACCCTGATGGTGTGTTGGAGGACTATTGGGAGTTTCATTATAAGGGCCTAATCCAGGGTATGTAGGGAAGAAGGACAATCAGTGATGAGGTGCTTGAGGGGCGTTTGAGAGCCGAGAAGCTGGATCCAGTGACGTTCTGGCTTTCGAAAGCAGAAAATGATTGGTTTCCATACCGGTAGTGAAGGGGTTCCGAGAGTTCTTTGCAGCTTTTCTCACGCTGTCATATCCATGTCACGATGTACTATGGTCGAGGTTTGAGTGAATCCTGGCACTCCATCGAAGATTCTTAGAAGATCACGACTTGAAGTGTAATCTGACTCAATGAACTTTGATAGCCAGCAGTGACTAGTCATTACGACAGAGAGAAACGTGAGCGACTCGATTCTGATTCTACATCGCAGTTTTGATACGTAGCTGAAGTCGGGTATACGTTGTATAAATCTCATAGCAACGTCGTAGCGAAATGTGAAGGGTGCTACCTCGTACAGCTTGTGATGAGGATAGACCTGTAACGGTGACATGAATCGAAAGGCTTTAACGTTGCTCGATCCTCGTTGCTGGGCTTCAGTTCGGAAGGGTTGCTTGTCGCAGACCGGATCAAACGGGTATGTTGTAGGAAACGAGTAAAACATCTTGTGTAACTGCTCTTAGTGCCAAGAAATCAGACTGTGAGTCGAACAATCCAATAGCAGTGCTAGTAGCCTGGTAACAAAATGATGAAATTGGGAACATGAGGGTTACACTTCTGCTCGTGAGCGTGGATTTGTACCCGCGGCATGTTTCCTACAACGACCAAAAGGTATCTGAGTCGGTTGTCCCGCCTGCTTGTGGCGTACACTGACACCAGATAGAGCCAATAATAGTCTTGGGCGTACGAGTCGACTGACAGAATGGTATCATCCGCCCGGGCAGCTGCGTGTCGCTATTCCGGTGCAGAACCGGGTGAATGCATGAGATGTGTGCGCTCAACCGTGACGATGTAACCGCGATGTTGAGTGAGCTGCTACGGATCCGACATGACAGCTGCAGACGAGAGTGGCGAGGTCTCCGGCCGATGTCGGTAGCCGAATACAGCTCGTGGTACAACCATCGTGCATACTCTATTGTCTTCATTTAAAATAGATGCTCATCCTGTACCGCATGGTTGCGCGCTATCAGCGATGAAAATCTCCGAGTATTCAACCATATAGGTGGACCGGCATAGTCCGATCGTCGGGTATGACAAGTCGGCCGGGTACTCCGTAAGGCTGAAGTCCATATGCGTGCTTCACCTGAAGTGGATTGGGGGTACACATCGTGGTCGCGCAGATCGACTCGTATCTGAGTTCGACAGGCTGATAAAGTCCAGATGTCTAGGTCTGCGTATTCTTGTTCGTCGCTTTACATATAGACTCCCGCCACCAGATCTGAGACAGAGCGGGAGGCTTCGTCACACAGTGTCGCTGTGGACCGATGTGGTGCTTCATGGCTTGATCTACGACGCCTCGGGGCCTGTAATCTATTTTCATGTTAGGAGTGGTTCGGGCCGTAGTGAGCTTGAGCAAACGTCAAGTGACGGATTCAAAGAGAGCGTGCTCGCGCCCAGCTCGGGCTGGAAGGAACCTTGGACTGCTGGTGAGAAGAACGGGAGAGGATGGGTAGTAATGACGGCAATAGTGGGGCCCATAGCACTGGTTTTGGCTATTATCAAGGTCGAGCGGTCGTCTGCAGCGGCTGGGAATACCGCCGTCAAGAGCCCTTAAGTCACATGACTAAAGCCAATAGGGTGGGTCGGATTTCCGAACGGCATGCTCACTGCATGTTGACGTATGAGCGGCAGTCGGGCATCGATAGTGTAGCTCGACTAGCCTACCCACACAGCAAGCGCCAAATGCAAAATCTGTAGGAATTGTTTCAGCCCGATCTATCTCAGTAGGCTGCAGATGGACTTGTACGTGATGTCCATTGTCGTTCGAGGCATGGCTGTTGGCGGCGCCTGGAACATGTTGCGCGCGCGATTTGCACGTGCCTTGCAGCACCAAGTGCGGGAAAGGCGAAGAGGGGAACACAAGCGTCATGAATAGTTTGCAACGATGTCGGTTGCTGCAAGTGCGGCCGATTCGGGTTTAAAGGTGCGCGTGTGTAACCCGCACCGAGCAGTGGTTCACACCGGCCAGTGGGCCCTGGACATCCGAGAGCAGCGGTGTCGTTGACTTGATCCGCATCCGCTTGGTGCAGCTGGCTGCCGGTCAAGATGGAAGCGTGCACAAACGGTGGAGTGGCATTTCACGAGACCAGAAGGGAATAGTGAGTCGCTGGGCTGGGCGGCTGTGA